GGAAGGAAGGAAGGAAGGAAGGAAGGAAGGAAGGAAGGAAGGAAGGAAGGAAGGAGAGGGAGGGGTCTGCATGAATGATAGACATCTTTGAAAAGAAATGCATGCTTGTTCCACTTCATATCTAATATAAGCTTATGCCCCAGTCATGCTAATTCAGTGGTTGCTGAAACATCATCACTCAAACTGCATTCATTACATTATTGGCTATGCTTCATAATGACTTGGCTACCAATATTTACAGCATCTAGCCTATCGACCCCGATGACTCTTAATGGTTAGGAAGCAGGGAAAGATGAATGCATTATTTCACTAATCCCCTTTCCAGTTGCATCAGGCCTATGCAAATTCTCAACCCCCGGCCTTGGGCTGCCAAGTCCCTCTCTCCTTGTGATTTTGTTTGACAGAGGAAATGCACCAATGACCTGGAAGTGATCCTTCCCCTCAAAAGGCTTCTCCTGTTTATGCTTCACAATAAGCCTTCAGAGTAGCCCACTGCCCAGGAAAATAGCTGCAACTGAAATTAAAGAACACCTCACCTAATTTTCGCAGGCTGCAAGCTATCAATAGCCTTATTTATAGCTTAGCAGTGGCCTGTTTAGCCAGTAAGAAATTGAACAAGATCCCCTTTGTTGGCTCTCTTGTCTTTCCAAAGAAAATATGGGGCAAATGATCAATTTACACCGAGACAAGAGAAATAGAACTCAGAACCCGAGTTGCTTCACCCCACTCATTGGCTTCTCCTGTGTACTTCAGGAAAGCTAAGGGTGATAGTAATTTTCTGTGATGTCTTTTCCAATAATCCATGCCTCTGAGCTTGAGTGCTGACAGGAAAGAGTGTTGTATTTCACAGCCCTATTGCTGAAGACAGTTTTAAGATCATTTATTTAATTATGCAAATGCCACTCTTGTGACAGCCAGAAGCGGACTCAAAGCTGAAAAGCCCCCCTGCTTAATAATAAAAACTCAGACCCTATCGAAGAAGGTTCATTATCTACTCCATAGCAGCTCTGACATCATTATACCTTTGCTGCAGAGCAGTGCGGAGCTAAGAGTTGAGGCAGCGCTTGAAAGTTAAGCCGTTATTTTTAGATTTGGGGTTGAATCAAACTGTTCTTTGTCCTACACAGCTTTAATTGGCCAGAGAAGGCTGAAGGATGCAGGAAGAAAATGTGATCTCACTTCATTTTGCTTGAATGCTGTTCTGCCTGCAGAATGACAACGCTTTATTGACAGAAAGAGGAAAATGGAGATGGTGTAGCTACTCGGCTTTCTAAATCTTCACCATCGCAAGGACAGTAGCTGTGTATGAACAGAACCCCTGTAAGTTTCCGTAAGATGAAACGGTTACACAGCACCAACAACCATCATAACTGAATGGTTCTGATAGTTAGGCCTTGTCAGTCCCACTAGGTAGACTAGCTCTGGAACCACATGTGGCTCTTTCATCCCTCTGCTGCGGCTCCCTGTCNTCTCTGTATCTTAGCATTTTGTTCAAATCTATAAAATTTGGATGGGTCGTCCTTTCTGTCGGTGATACCCAATTCAGGATTTTCACATAGTGAAAATCAGCTCACAAATCTCTTGATTAACATGATGGAAAGAATGTGAGATTAATAGTTTTCAAGTGTCAGAACAGAAAAATGAATCACTCCATCTGTTGAAATAAGATGGCCCTGTTTTTCTTTAAATACTCATTTGACAGATGTGGAACAAAGCAGGTAAAACACAATCCACATCCTGTTAGTAGCAGATTTATTTATTGAAATTTTCAGTTTCCTATTGTTCTGAAATAGAACCATCTGTTTGCGTGTGTTGTATTTATATAAACATTTTAGCAAATCTTGTCCTCTGGTCAACTTGGGCCAACAACAAATAAATAACATTCTTTTCTTGCATTAGTACTAGCTTGACAATTATTTGTTACTTTGATGTCATTTTAATTAGTTCCAATACAGGTTTATACCCCCTGTGAGAAAGATACTTGTCATCTAGCTTAGTATACACTCTTGTATGGTAACTATTTTCAACATAGTTAATCCAAATATGCTTTTGAGCATATTTCCTACCCAGAAACCATATATTCTGATGAAGTTAATCCATTTAAACATCCTGCACCAAATGCAATCCATTCTTTGGGGTGAATTTAGCATGTAACAGAGGAATGGGCTACATATAAACACCACCTGTGTTAAGACTGGCTTTAAGCTTTGAGATAAATCTTTGAATTGGACCAATATGTGTTCACTTGAAGAATCTGAAAAGCATGCCGATGTGGTGTTAGTTAAAACCATCACCCATAACAAAGAAGATCAGATTAGTATTTGATTTATGAAAATCCCTTGTTTACTTCATTAAAACTACTGCTCTTAAAATTGTTTGCCAAACAGTTGCCGTAATGGAAGGGTATTGCAGAAACCAGATGGGTGGATGGAGTGCAGCTACTAGAAATCCAGAGTTGAGGGAGGGAGAGCACATTTACAAAGCGAGTAATGTCCAGTTTAGCCTTTCTCAGCAAAGGGCTGTTCTCATCCATATCAACTGACCTATCAGAAAATAAAGAAAATCTGTGGAACTCTTTGGATGTTCATNTCGAATCTCACCAGGCTCAAGGTTGACTCAGCCTTCCATCCTTCTCAGGTGGGTAAAAAGAGGACCCAGATTGTTTGAGGGCAAAAGGCTGACTCTGTAAACCTCTTAGAAAGGGCTGGAAAGCACTGCAAAGCGATATATAAGTCTAAGGGCTATTGCTCTTCCCCATTGACTTTGCTTGTCAGAAGCTGACCAAAAGGGGATCACATGACCACGGGACACTACAACCGTCATAAATATGAGTCAGGTGCCCAGCGTCTGAATTTTGATCACATGACCATATGCTGGATGCTGCAATGGTCGTGAGTGTGAAAAACGGTCATAAGTCACTTTTTCAGTGCTGTTTTGAACGGTCACTAGGTGAACTGTTGTAAGTCAAGGACTACCTGTATAGTCTCTCCAGAATCATCATCATGTAATAGAATGCGTCCTTGACTCCCAGCATCTCAGGGCTGTTAAACTTGCTGGCTTTATATTTCTATTTAGAATCTGTCCGTATACGACCTCTCTATCAGTGGTGGGTTCCTACCAGTTTAGACCAATTCTGCTGATCCGGTAGTGGTTTGGCGGCCAGAGTCGCTGGAACTGGCAGTGACCCAGGCCTGCCACACCCCCGAACCACTTCTCCTGGCAGCGTCATAGATGCTTCCATCTTGTTTTTTGGTTCTACGCATACACAGAAAATTTTTAATTGCACTGCGCATGTGCGCATGGCACACATCAAAGGTGCATGGCACTCATCAATGGCACATGGCACTCATAAAGTGTGCATGGCATGCATCAAAAGCATGTGGCATGCATCAAAGGTGCATGGCACTCATCAAGGGTGCATGGCACACATCAAACGCATGTGGTATGCATCAAAGGTGCATGTCATGCATCAAGGGTGCACAACACTCATCATGAGTGCATGGCATGCATCAAATGCATGTAGCATGCATCAAAAGTGCATGGCACTCATCAAAGGTCACATGACACTCATCAAAGGTGCATGGCACTCATGAAGGGTGCATGGCAAGCATCAAATGCATGTGGCATGCATCAATGGTGAATGGCACTCAACAATGGCACATGGCACTCATCAAGGGTGCATGNGGGAATGGAGATTTTGCAGTATCCTTCCCCCAGGAGTGGGGAGGGAATGGAAATTTTGCAGTATCCTTCCCTCCAGGAGTGGGGAGGGAATGGAAATTTTGCAGTATCCTTCCCTCCAGGAGTGGGGTGGAAATGGGGTTTTTGCAGTATCCTTCCCCTGCCACGCCCACCAAGCCACGCCCACAGAACCAATAGTAAAAAAAATGAATTTCATCACTGAGTAGGATGTATGCTCCATGCTTTAATTCTGATATTAGCAATGACTTTCAGTTCTCCTTATTTTCAGCCCATAGAAATCCCATCCTACGTTTCCTAGCCATATTTGTCCCTTTCATAGAATCATAGGGTTGGAAAGGACCTTGGAGGTCTTCTACTCCAACCCCCTCAGTAGTCCTTATATCATCCTGGACAATCTATTCTTGAAAACTTCCCACAATGGAGCTCCCACAACTCCAGGAGGCAACCTGTTCCATTGATGAATCATTCATACTGCCAGTAAATTTCTCCTTAGTTTCGGGTTGGATCTCCCTCTGATGAGTTTCCACCCTGGCTGGAGAATTCTGGGAGTTGAAGTCCACAAGTCTTAAACTTGTCTAATTTGGGGACCCTTGCCCCACACTATTTCAAACAAATGGTTGTTCAGTCCCTTCTTAAAAGCTCCCAGTGTTGGAGCATTCATAATTTCTGGAGGCAAGTTGTTTAATTGATTAATTGTTCTAACTATCAGGAAATTTCTCCTTAGTTCTAGGATGGTACTCTCTCTGGTTATTTTCCTTTCATTGCTCCATATCTTGCCTTCAGGTGCTTTGGAGAATAGCTTGACTCCCTCTTCTTTGTGGCAGCCCCTCAAATATTGGAACATTGCTATCATGTCACCCCTAATCAATGCTCTCTTCCCTGTAACAACCATTTAAGTAGTGGAAGATGGCTATTAGGTCCAGAAGTTGGTTCCTACTGGTTTGGCCCAATTCAGGTGGGACCGGCAGTGGTATGGCTGTGTGGGTTGCTGGAACCGGCAGCGACCCAGGCCTGCCACACCCCAGAACCAGCTCCCTGGTCGGCACCATCAGCTCTGCCATCTTGTTTTTAAGGTCTGCGCATGCGCAGAACAATTTTAATTGAACTGTGCATCCAGCGTGCATGGTGGCCATCCAGCACATGCCCAAGTGAACCGGCAGTAAAGCCAGCCAGAACCCACCCCTGCTTAGGTCCCTCCTAAGTCTTCTCTTCATTAATCTAAACATACATCTCTTTCTTTATGTTGGACTGTACTATTTCAATCTATAGGTCACAAAAGCAGCAGGACCTGCCAGGTTAGATGGCCAGGTCTCTGAAAAGGACCATTAGCATCCCTGCTATTCAGACCCATCTTCAACTGCCCTTATAACATCTGATCAATTTTTGGATGTTGCGCTACAGAACGATAACTCACCATCACTTGACATCAGGGATCAGACTGGGAATTTTCTGTAGCTACTACATGGATGGTACCAATTTCTATGGACTCTTCCTGGCTTCATCCCAAGCAGATGCATCTCTACATCATGCATGTTGCTACCATTGCCAACCTTATATCTAAGCCTCTGTTGACTTCATCTCACCGATCAATCAAGTGGAGCTGGATTTGAAAGGAAGGGTGTCATAGCAATGTGATAAACCCAGTTGAATAGCAATGGTAAGTGGATGAATAAAATAAATAAATACCTTATACATATTTACAGGCAAAGCAATGAGGATGTAGAAGAGGTCTCCAAGGGCTAGGCTGGCAATGAGGACATTAGGCCCATTTCTCATGCACTTATTCTTATAGATGATCCTGAGCAGGGTGGAATTTCCAATGATGCCCACGATGAAGATAGTACAAGAGACAAATGTGTTGATGTACTTGAAGGCTTCCCGGATTTCTGTTGGCTTCGTACACATGACTGGTAGAGGACCTTGTGGGGTGGCATCTCCAGAAAAGTCCTTCGACTGGTTGGAGGGGAGTTGCTGATCTGGGAAGACACCTGCTTGGATCATCTTGAAAGTTGGATCTTCTCCCAGAATCTCTAAAGATATGGTGCTGTCTTTGAAGCTGTTGGCCGTCTGGCTGGAGACACTCAAGATCAGGCAGGAGGCCAACGCTAGAGTAGTGAGATGTCTACCCATGGGGAAGCCAAGGTCAAAAACCCACACAGTTTTGTGTGTGTTGAGCATTGCAGTATTAACGATGTCTCCTATGGTTGTCCTATTATCATCTGCAGATGGACGACACTTACGAAGAATCTGGATAACAAGAGAGAAAATATAAAAAGTGATATTAATATAAGCATGGCTTTCTTTTCATTTGGTTATTGTTCATAGAGGATAAGGATAAGTAACCCACAGAGCCCATGGGTCTTATATACGTACTCCCTATTTGAGTGGATCTCAGAGTCTCTTCTACTGCTTCTACTATTCTGTTACCATAGAATTTTGCTATTAAAGTTGATGAATTAAACCCTAGGGTTGCAAATAAATAGGTATCTGCTTCTGTAGCTTCTAAAGGACAAGAAGTAAACAAAAAAAAAAAAATAGAACATGTGACATTCAAAGTTAAAAGGAAAACGTTAGAATTGACAGATGATAAGGTGATGTTTAAGCAAATAGGAAGCTGGGCACGCACAGTCTTACAAGTGTCATTTACTCCTCTTGATAGAATAGACCCTTATGGATTTAGTGTTGGAAACTACGTAAGATCTGGGGAAGTACTAAATCCCTTCCCTCCAATGTCACCAGGAGCATCTGCCATACCAATGAAGGTGGAAGCGAGACCCTCTGTTGAATTAAGAGCCAAGGTGGCGCAGTGGTTAAATGCAGCACTGCAGGCTACTGCTAGATCAGCAGG